TGGTGCCTACAGCCACAAGATGGTGGTGCCTAGTCCCCTTGGCTCTGCTGGGGCGGCAGGTGCATGGAAAGGCTGGGCCCGCCCCCAGGAGTCCCACAGTCCCCTCAGCCCCCCAGCCCACCTGAGGCTCAGGTAACCAGGACCGCTGAGGCTTGCGCTGCTGGCAGTGGCAGCAGCAGAGGTGTGATGGGGGCGTCGCCTTCCCCTGACTGCCGGGTCGCCTCCTGCCCCTGAGGGCTCCCGCACTGTGAGAGGGGGCAGGCCAGGCTGAGGGACCGCCCCCCCCCCCACTCCAGTGCATGAATTTTCATGCACTGGGCCTCCAGTTTATATATATAAAAGGTAATATGTGAAGTGTCCAACTGTCTGATCTGTCACTATGATGGGCGCTGACCACCAAGGGGCAAACGCTCAATGCAGGAGCTGCAGTGACTTGGCAGCGGTGGTTCTCGGGTGACATACCCCGAAACCAGACGGGAGGGAGCCTGATTCCTCACAGGGCCGCGTGATTCCACCTCTGGCTGTAGGTTATGTTGCTGCTGGGGCACTGTAGGCCCGGAATCTGGTTTACTGCACACTTGCATTTGCGTTCCACACCCTGTACAACAGCAATTTTGCAGAGTGCCCTCTCGCACTTCGGGACCCCTTGGGGATGTCAGAGAGCTAGTTTTGGTGTGATCCCTGCAGGCCAGGCCGAGGGACCCTACCTGCCAGAGGGACCCGGCTCCCTTGGCAGACGCCGGGGAGGGACCGCAGGAGGTTGGCTCCCTCCAGGGTGCGAGTGGCCCATCTCACCCAGTCCCACCCTGCTGGCCACCTTCTAATGAATTTCCTTTCAATGTGCACGAATCTGTGCACCGGGTCACTAGTATCAAAATGAAAGACAAGAAACATGATTAAGTTAGACTTCAAAAGACCTGGGATAAACTTATAAAAGGGATACTATGCATTTACCTGGTTTTTATTCTTTCATGAGTTAATTTCTTATTTTATTCACTACCATCTGATAATTGCATGAAACACTTATTCTAACCATGGGCAATTTAGAACATTTTAATTTGTATTTCAAGGCCACAAGACAAAGGAACCTACTTATTGCCTAAGGGGATTTTTTTTTAACAAAAATTAAAGCTTAATCTTTCATGTTTTAAAGCATAGATGGTTTAAAATCATTTATAATAATGCTGTAGGGAGACTGTTCCTGGCAAAAATTTAAATGATAAATTTACAATTAAAAGAATTAATAGTTTAGGGGATTGAATGCCCCTTTCCTTTCTAGATAGATTTGTCTGACTCATAAGAGACATCTTCAAAAAGAGGGCAAAACCAAGGCCTGTACAGGAGTGGTGCACTTCAGTTTGACGGAGTTGCTCATGGAACAATAGTAAGCCTGGCTTTTTATTATTTAAGAAAATAAGCAATGACATTGGCCTTGGCAACCATTTTTTCTCCCCATAGGAAATTGCTCCGATGAAGTGGAGAGCCATGAATTCTACTAACCACGTTTTCTGTGACTTTGAAAGAGTCCCTGATGGAAATTAGACAAATAATTTACTTTCACTTAAACGCCAGATTTTTTTTTAGTTACACTTAAGAAAAATAATTGAAATGTAGATTTAAATCGTTTCTGCTGCTACACTTCAGGATTCTAATGAAATACTTTCAGCTATTATGCAAAGCATTCCTCAGTGGAGGGAGAAAAGCCACTCTCCATGATTCCTGGTTAGCAGAGGCTGTGGAAGGACAGCTCTAAGAGCAAAGGGAAGGACACCTTGCTGGGGGTAGACAGGAAGGGAGGGGATCCATCTCAGGACACAGGGTCCCTTTCTGTAAGGCCCCAGGAGAAATCTGAAAAGGGTCAAATATATTTAAAGTTCCTTAAATACTTCAGCCATCTTCCTAGGCTGCCTAAGTACACTGCATCTTAATCCCTGGCCAGTGTGGCTCAGATGGCTGGACATCGTCTTGTCCGAGAGATTGCTGGTTTGATTTACAGCTCTCCCTCTCTTTTCCTCTCTCTAAAAATCAATAACTTTTAAAAAGAAGGTTATACCATATTTGTGCTCCTGGCAACATTGGAGGGAACGGATGTGGACCTCACCTCTCATCCTGCTCAGCACCATGGTCTCCTTGCTAGTGTGTAATCATGACAAGCTCTCTCCCGCCTCCCAGCCTTTACCCCTGCTCAGTCCTCTACCTGATGCCTGGTCCCTAGATGTCAATATGGCTTCCCCTCCTCTTTTTTCAGATTTCTGCCGCAATATCACCTTTTCAGAGAAAGAAAGCCTCTTTCAACCCTTTTGCTTGCTCCACCTTGCTGCCTGGTCTCTCTTCACAGCATGTGTCCATCATGTGCGGGGCACACACTTGTTTGCTTCTTGTCCGTTACCCTGATGGGCTGGAAGTTGAGACAGAAGGGAACAGACTGTCCCTTCTGCTCACTGCTCTGTCCCAGCTTCCAGCGCAGCATCTCACACTGTCGGACTGTATTATCTATCAGTCACATTACCACACAGAGCACCTCCCACCTGCTTTCTCGCTCAGCTTCTCATTCTTTTAAAGAATGAAATGTTTGAATATTAATTTTGATTCCCTGGAACCAAGCACAAATACCATGACAGAAGAATATATTTTAATAAAGTCAAATGAACCCTTAACAAGCAAACAATAGGCCACATACCCTTAGCCTAATTGTCAGAATAGCAGCATAATTTTAATATAACTATAATAATACGTCAAAGTTTAATGTAATGACCCATGACCCAAACTGTGGGCTATATGGCTCCTTGCCATACAAGGAAGAGAGTTTTCATAAGAAAAAGAATTTTCTTTTTTCTACCTTGTTACCAATGATTTGACTAGTTCCTGCTGGTTATCCTATCTAATAAAGAGGGAATATGCAAATTGACCATCTCACATCACAAAGATGGCAGGGCCCAGTCCCCTCAGCCCCACCAGAGTCCCTCAGTCCTTTCAGCCCTGCTGGAGGGGTGGCAGGCATGTGGTCCAGTCGCTCCTTGTGCCTGCATCCCACAATCCATTCAGCCCAGCCAGGGGGGTGGGGGAGAGGGGAGGCGCATGGTGCAGCCGGACCCACCCTCAGCCCCCCAGCCGCCCAGGCCGCCCGAGGTGCAGGCAAGCCTCAGATGGCAGCTGCCCAGCTGCCCAGGGCTGCCCGAGACTCAGGTAACCAGGGCTGGCTGAGGCTTGTGTTGCTGGCAGTGGCAGCAGCAGAGGTGTGATGGGGGCATCACCTTCCCCTAATCACCAGGTCACCTCCTGCACCTGAGGGCTCTCAGACTGTGAGAGAGGGGCAGGCTGGGCTGAGGGATGCCCCCTTCAGGGCATGAATTTTCACGTACCAGGCCTCTAGTTATCAATAAAAGGGAGAGAAGGTAATTTTTCCAAGGTTGGAAAAATTAGTAAAATTTACTTTAGACAAAATAAAGTTAATATTGTTTTCTCTTTAAAAAGGTGCAAACCCTCTTCATTTTTAAATAAACAGCAAAGTGTTCAGATTTTGAGTGACTTTTAGTTTTTTTCTCTCCAATTAGATATAGTTAAAAATGTCAGCTTCTGACTAAAGATACAATAAAATGTGTGATTTTTTAATATAATCATTTCATAGCCTTCATAGGGGAGGTAAAAATTCTTATTTGAGAAAATACTTTCCAGTCCGATTTACAAAACAGATAGGTCAGAGAGGTTAATTTTAAAAATTGTTTTTCAGAAAAATCCTTATTTTTATAAGGGGTATTTATGGTGTCAAAAATGTTTATTTCTTAAAAAGAGTCACTATATGATTTATTTAATAACAAATGTATCATTTATTGCATTAGAGCTATAACTTAATTTGTTGGAAGAAATGACAAAGCTGTTTCTCAGGAATACCATTTGTTTCAGGAAACGAGGCCCACATAGAGGAATGGTACATTTTAAAAGACATTTTAGAGAATGAAGCCAACGCTCTATGGGCTGTTGCTATGAGCTTACAGCACATTAAGGATAAACCCCCCAGCTCTTCCTACACATCCCCTAGATTTCTCCCTCCAAACTGCACTCAGAGGGAAATGTCTTCCGCTGTTTTAGAAACAAACCGAGGGCTACTGCCTTGCTCCCTGATGTCAAAAGCCTTAAGCAAGCTGGTCAGCCGTGTGCTGCAGCTTTCATTTTCTATTTTTCTCAAAGAAAACCCCGTGCTGTTTAGATGAAAGTTTTTTCAACACGTAGCTAGTCTTTTGGGCATAGCCGGTGGAGGGTCATGAGGTTTTCAGAGTTAGAGAAAGTTTGGAGATTGTCCAGGTCAACTCCTCCACCTACCAGAGAAGGAGGTGAGGTCATTTATCAAGGTCTAGAAAATTCAGAGAGGAGGAGGAGCCAGCGAAACATTTCTTAACAAACAAATCATGGTATCCAAGCAACCACATTAGGTCTGGCTTGTATGAAAGAAAAATGGCATCTGCTTTGGAATAAGGCATCAACATATGTGAGGAAAGACTTTAAATGACACAGCCCAGACATGACCATAAACAAGCAACAAATGTGGTCCCTCTAGACCGTGGACTTTAAAGTCAAACGAGAAGAATGGTGGTGGTGAGAAATGTAACACTGCAACAACTAGGGATTTTGAGATTTAACAGAGAATTCTTAAATTGCTAAAAAAGAAAAAAAAAGAAAAGAAAAAAGAGACAGGAGAAAAAGCATGACTAAGAGATTGAAGCTCTTCATAATGGTGAAGACCTAGTAAGGATTGAGTGGACAATACATTTTTGAAACAAAATGGATGTGTGAGAACCACTAGCACGGTGGACTCTCTCAGAGAAAACTTTTTTTCCCGTTGGAAAGTAGAACACACGCACATTGAAAGTTTGGTTCTTTAAAAATAAAGAAACAAGTTAACCCCGATGCCCAGGTAAGTTCCCTGGCTGCCTGGGCACGCCTACCCTGCATGTGGCACCGGGTGTGTGCAGACCTGCGTACCCTTTCTCACGTCCTCTTACCAGGGCTGGTGAGGGCTCCCAGGGCGCTGCTCGTGGTGGACAGAGGGTTTGCGTTGGTGGTGGTGGCTGAGGTCTGGGCTGCGGCTGCAGCGGCCGCCAGCGTGGCCAGATTCTGTAACTGTAAAGCGTTCATGCCTGCGAAAGGAAGGGAAAGGCACCGTTAGCAACTGGCCCACTTTGCCGGGCAGATGACGGCAACAGAGCCCTGGGATGTAAGCCCTGGTGACTCGTGTGTCCCCTGACTTCTCAGCCCAGTCACCTCCCTATGGTGCTGCCTGTCCTACCCCAGGATGCCCTTCCCAGATCAGCTCAGGAAGCGAGACACATGCAGCTTGGAGTCCTGTGAGTGCAACCTGCTGGCAAGCACAGCCACGGGACAAGGCACTGCAGGTCATGCTATGAGGATGCGGGGGTTGGGGAAGTAGTGTCTTATTTGTCAGGTTTGCTCCAGGAGAACGGAACCGGGGAAGTACAGGAGCAGCCTGGGGAGGGGGCGGCGACTCCTGAAGGCTGTGTGAACACACCTCACACTTGAGTGTGACAAGAGCTCAGGCCTCGAGTGCCACTGCCAGGAGTGAGGAACATGTGTATACCCATCTGTCCCCTCTTGGCTCTCCAGTGACAAATGTTCCCTCTAATGTTTTAATCATAGAAACCAGATGACCAGGCGACACTGCTCACAGCTGGCGGTGCAGCAAGGGAGGCTTTAGCACTAACATGGAAACCTGCAATGCACATCTGGCACCCGTTACTGATACGCAGAGCCACTCTCATAGGCGCAGGTGCAGGGTCCTCCTCCGACCCGCCCCAGGCAGGAGCCACGTGCCCGAGGGCAGCGTTCCCGAGCTGGAAGGCGCTTGGCCCACTCGCCTGGGTCAGAGGGCACAGAACCGATGGTGGCAGAACCTCCCATCCGGGCAGCGCTGCAGCCGCACCTCACACGGGTGTGCACTTTCTGTGTGCTACCTGCAAACTCCCTCATCTCCTTGTTCTTAACTCTGGGGTCACTCATTCACCATATCTCAATTTGATGCTATTTTTGTGTATTTGTTATCTTTATAGCTAGATACCAAGCTCGTGGAGGACAAAGATACAAGATGTTGTCTCATTCATTATCAAGTCCATCTAAGCACATATGCGTACACACACATGCAGGCGCGCGCGCGCACACACACACACACACACTGCTGTCTACATAGCAGGGGATGGACAACTCTATGTAGGATGAGTTGACAGAGTAATGAACAGTACTGCCCATAGATCCATCCAAGTTCTTAGCTTTCTCCACGTTTTATCAGCTCGTCAGTATTGACAATGCATCAAGTATTGACTGTTTCCCTCAATCATTAGTTAATCTGTCCTACAAATATTTAGTAGAGCCATGTGTATTCTTCATCTCAGCACTAATGCTCCTTATAGGTCCTGGAGCCTGGCCACAACACTCAGGTGCACTACCCACTGCCCTCTCTGCTCAGGAGCCCGGCCAGGCCCTGTGTGCCCCTCCCACACTCCCCCACCGGAGTGTGCCAGCTAGTCAGGCTCCCCCTGCCTCAGCTAGAAACTCCAGGCAGCAGGATTTTGGCTCTGGAACACCACACGGGGGGCGGGGGGGGGCACTCTGTTTAACAATCGCATGGAAAGGAAGAAAATATGGGCTGAAGGAAGCAGAGATGGTGCGTGGAAAGGAGAGACTGCAATGATCCCTACCACCTGAGGGATTTGGGGAAGAGGAAGGGAAGGGTTAGATAAGGAGAACCAGCAGAGAATAGCGCATGTATGTGCCTGCCCATCTGTATACCTGTCTG